CTCTCGCAGAGGTATGTTGTGCAAAATGGTAGTAAATATTTTATTGCCGCTTCACTGACATGATAAATGTCTTTTAGGTCAGCCCAAAAATTATTCAGCGATTGCTCTGCAAAACAACTCTTGAGTCTGCTGTTGCATGAAATGTCTATTAATGGTCAGAGATGGGAAGGTGGTCGGTGGAGTTATTCGCAACAGCGACAAAAATTTTCAAAATTAATTTCGCGAAAACAAATTGTGTTAATTGTACAATTTTTGTTTCTTGTGTAAGAATTTCATTTAGGTATTGTCGCAAATGCATTTTTTTAATATGAAATTTCGAGAATATTTTTAGTTATAAATAAACGAATTTGTGCATTCGACATCATGTTGTAAATTGCCGAATTTTTGATGGTCCACCCATTATTTTTTTTTTATTGCTTCATCTGATGCATTTAAATTTTAAATCGATCGATTTTAGATTGGCGCGCGTACCCCTTCATGCAATTTCCACCAATTAATTGGGAAATTGGTACCACTAATTGGGAACCATTGTTCTAGAGTTTTTAATATTCTGACTCTTTCAGCAAGGTTTTATTTATGTCCCCAATTCCCTTATCTCTTAATTATTTAACTACTTTACTTCTTAAGTAGAAATAAGTTGAAACCAGTTACTTTGTACTTGAATACTTGTAGTCTTGGGAAAAAAGTGGAAAGACAAATTTTTATGACAAACGGATACATAAATCGTAAATTTAAGGAAAATAAATTCTAGAGCTTTTTTTGTACCTTGTGCATACCATTCATTAAATTTAGTTGTAAATGATGCTGCCAAAGTAACAGTTCATTTTTTTAACATTGTACAAGAATTCTACACGTTTTTTTCTGCATCCTCTTATAGATGGGGCATACTAAATCGTAATATCACTAGTTTAACATTGAAATCGGTAAGTAATACAAAATGGGAAAGCATAATAAAAACAGAATAAATATATCAAATATTTTAATGGATTTTTTAAAACTCTTGTCATCTATACAGAACTATCATAAAAACATACCAG